GGAGAGGAGCAGGGTTAGGCTATATATAACTACTACCTCTACTAACGTACCACTACTAACTACTATATCTACTACTACTACTACTACTACTACTACTACTACTACAGTAAAAAAAAACAAAAAAACATTGTAAAGTGGTTGTACGATTGGCTATAAGGGTGAATGCACCCTTTTGTAAGTCGCTCTAGATAAGAGCGTCTGCTAAATACGTAAAATGTAAATTAAATGTAGTACTACTACTACTACAACTACTACTACAACTATACTTACGACTACTACTACTACTACTACTTACTACTACTAACTACTTACTACTACATAACTACTACTACTACTAGACTACTACTACTAACTACTACTACTACTATACTGCTACTAACTCTACTTACTACTACTACTACTACTATTACTGCCTACGACTACTACTACTACTACTACTACTACTACTACTGACTATTACTACTACTACTACTACTACTACTACTATACTACTACTACTACTACTACTACTACTACTACTATTTCTGCGACTACTACTACTACTACTACTACTACTACTACTACTACTACTACTATTACTGCTACTACTACTACACAACTACTACTACTACTACTACTACTACTACTACTACTACTACTACTACTAGTACTACTACTACTACTACTACTACTACTACTACTACAACTACTACTACTACTACTACTACTATACTACTACTACTACTACTACTATTACTGCTACTACTAGCCTGGAGAGAGAGGAAAGTACTAGAAGTACATGAACAAACAGATTACACCTGAGGCGTTATAGTACAGCACGTATTGTGTCAGGTACGTATGCTGAATGATTCACCGTTACGGGGATATAATAGTGATAGTCAGTTTACAGTCAGGTACGTACGCTGAAGGAGGAGAGGTTGTCATCAACTTCCATGGCATCCTGGATGGTGTTGCCCACGGCAGTGATGACACGGTCGATGACATGAACCACTCCATTGGTAGCCACCTGGTTACCATGGATAATCCTGGCACAGTTCACCGTGACGATCTACAAAGGGAGAGCGATTGGTTAATTTATCGATTGGTTTAAGTGAATAGAATCCTTTTTTTGTCCACTTAAAAATGCACTACAGGATCTTAAGCACACCAAGTTTGTATGATATGTTGCGAGTTGGGTTCATAACATATCATACGAATTGCAAAAATATATACAGTACCAGTCAAAATTTGGACACACCTACTCATTCAAGGGTTTTTCTTTATTTTTACTATTTTCTACATTGTAGAATAATAGTGAAGACATCAAAACTATGAAATAACACATATGGAATCATGTAGTAACCAAAAAAGTGTTAAACAAATCAAAATATATATTATATTTGAGATTCTTCAAAGTAGCCACCCTTTACCTTGATGACAGCTTTCCAAACTTTTGACTGGTACTGTATATATATACAGTGGGGAGAACAAGTATTTGATACACTGCCGATTTTGCAGGTTTTCCTACTTACAAAGAATGTAGAGGTCTGTATGGAATCTAAAACAAAAATCCAGAAAATCACATTGTATGATTTTTAAGTAATTAATTTGCATTTTATTGCATGACATAAGTATTTGATACATCAGAAAAGCAGAACTTAGTATTTGGTACAGAAACCTTTGTTTGCAATTACAGAGATCATACGTTTCCTGTAGGTCTTGACCAGGTTTGCACACACTACAGCAGGGATTTTGGCCCACTCCTCCATACAGACCTTCTCCAGATCCTTCAGGTTTCGGGGCTGTCGCTGGGCAATACGGACTTTCAGCTCCCTCCAAAGATTTTCTATTGGGTTCAGGTCTGGAGACTGGCTAGGCCACTCCAGGACCTTGAGATGCTTCTTACGGAGCCACTCCTTAGTTGCCCTGGCTGTGTGTTTCGGGTCGTTGTCATGCTGGAAGACCCAGCCACGACCCATCTTCAATGCTCTTACTGAGGGAAGGAGGTTGTTGGCCAAGATCTCGCGATACATGGCCCCATCCATCCTCCCCTCATTACGGTGCAGTCGTCCTGTCCCCTTTGCAGAAAAGCATCCCCAAAGAATGATGTTTCCACCTCCATGCTTCACGGTTGGGATTGTGTTCTTGGGGTTGTACTCATCCTTCTTCTTCCTCCAAACACGGCGAGTGGAGTTTAGACCAAAAAGCTCTATTTTTGTCTCATCAGACCACATGACCTTCTCCCATTCCTCCTCTGGATCATCCAGATGGTCATTGGCAAACTTCAGACGGGCCTGGACATGCGCTGGCTTGAGCAGGGGGACCTTGCATGTGCTGCAGGATTTAAATCCATGACGGCGTAGTTTGTTACTAATGGTTTTCTTTGAGACTGTGGTCCCAGCTCTCTTCAGGTCATTGACCAGGTCCTGCAATGTAGTTCTGGGCTGATCCCTCACCTTCCTCATGATCATTGATGCCCCACGAGGTGAGATCTTGCATGGAGCCCCAGACCGAGGGTGATTGACCGTCATCTTGAACTTCTTCCATTTTCTAATAATTGCGCCAACAGTTGTTGCCTTCTCACCAAGCTGCTTGCATATTGTCCTGTAGCCCATCCCAGCCTTGTGCAGGTCTACAATTCTACAATGTCCTTACACAGCTCTCTGGTCTTGGCCATTATGGAGAGGTTGGAATCTGTTTGATTGAGTCTGTGGACAGGTGTCTTTTATACAGGTAACGAGTTCAAACAGGTGCAGTTAATACAGGTAATGAGTGGAGAACAGGAGGGCTTCTTAAAGAAAAACTAACAGGTCTGTGAGAGAATTCTTACTGGTTGGTAGGTGATCAAATACTTATGTCAATGCAAATTAATTACTTAAAAATCATACAATGTGATTTTCTGGATTTTTGTTTTAGATTCCGTCTCTCACAGTTGAAGTGTACCTATGATAAAAAAATTACAGACCTCTACATGCTTTGTAAGCAGGAAAACCTCCAAAATCGGCAGTGTATCGAATACTTGGTTTTTAGAAGAGGTACATTGAACATCTACATACTGTAGATTAAGCCAGGTGGAGTTTCTACCATATTGTCTACACTATTCTGTCACACCCTGGCTCTGGGACTCTATATGTTGAGCCAGGGTGTGTTCATTCTATGTGTTCTGTTTCTATGTTGGGAATTCTAGGTTGTGTATGTCTATGTTGGCCTGAGTGACTCCCAATCAGAGGCAACGAGTGTCAGCTGTTGGCTGGTTGTCTCTGATTGGGAGCCATATTTAAACTGTCTGTTTTCCCTTTGTGTTTGTGGGTTCTTGTTCCGTGTTCGGTCATTGTCACCGTGGACTTCACGAGTCGTTTATTGTTTTTGTTCGTGCTTTAATTAATAAAGTAACATGTTCATTCATCACGCTGCGCATTGGTCTACTTCTCTCCCTGACGATCGTGACAGAAGAACCCACCATACCAGGACCAAGCAGCGTGTCCAGGAGCAGGCAGCCTGGACGTGGGAGCAGATTTTGGACGGACAGGGGTCCTGGACCTGGGAGGAAATCCTGGCCGAGATGGATCGCCGGCCATGGAGTGAGACTGTAGAGAGGCGACGGAGAGAGGAGCAACGGCGTGATCAGGGTCGTCGTCGGACGGTCGAGAGGCAACCCCAAATAATTTTTAGGGGGGGGCACAGGGCATGGACGACGGGGCTGACGGAGGCAGAAAAAGGGGCGTATTCAAAGGCCACCAGGTTACGGGGGGGTCACTGGTAAAGGAAGGAAAGGAAGGTTTAGAGGCACGGCGAGAGGTACTGGGATGTGTTACCAGTCCGGTCCGGCCCGTTCCAGATCCCGGGGTAGAGCCAGTGGTGTGTGTCCCCAGTACGGTCCGGCCTGTTACGGTCCCTCGCACCAATGGGACGGAGCGCGTCGCCAGCCCGGTCCGGCCTGTTCCTGCCTCTCGCAACCAAGCCTACGGTGTGCGTCGCCAGCCAGGTCCGGCCTGTCCCTGCTCCACGCACCAAGCCTACGGGGTGCGTCGCCAGCCCCGCCCGGCCTGTCCCTGCTCCACGCACCAAGCCTACGGGTGCGTCGCCAGCCCAGCCCGGCCTGTCCCTGCTCCACGCACCAAGCCTACGGGGTGCGTCGCCAGCCCAGCCCGGCCTGTTCTGCTCCACGCACCAAGCCTACGGTGTGCGTCGCCAGCCCATCCGGCCTGTCCCTGCTCCACGCACCAAGCCTACGGTGTGCGTCGCCAGCCCAGCCTGTCCCTGCTCCACGCACCAAGCCTACGGGGTGCGTCGCCAGCCCAGCCCGGCCTGTCCCTGCTCCACGCACCAAGCCTACGGGGTGCGTCGCCAGCCCAGCCCGGCCTGTTCCTGCTCCACGCACCAAGCCTACGGGGTTGCGTCGCCAGCCCGGCCCGGCCTGTCCCTACTCCACGCACCAAGTCTACGGTGCGCGTCGCCAGCCCGGCCCGGCCTGTTCCTGCCACTCGCACCAAGTATACGGTGCGCGTCGCCAGCCCGGCCCGGCCTGTTCCTGCCACTCGCACCAAGCCTACGGTGTGCGTCACCAGCCCGGCCCGGCCTGTTCCTGCCCCTCGCACCAAGCCTACGGTGTGCGTCGCCAGCCCGGCCCGGCCTGTTCCTACCACTCGCACCAAGCCAGGGGTGCGAATCGTCAGCCTGGTCCAGAACGTTCCTGCTACTCGCACCAAGCCAGGGATGCGAGTCGTCAGCCTGGTCCAGCCCGTTCCTGCTACTCGCACCAAGCCAGGGGTGCGAGTCGTCAGCCCGGTAAAGCCCGTTCCGGCTCCACGCACAAAGCCAGGGGTGCGCATCGTCAGCCCGGTCCGGCCTGTTCCTGCCACTCGCACCAAGCCTACGGTGTAAGTCGCCAGCCCGGCCCGGCCTGTTCCTGCCACTCACACCATGCCTACGGTGTGCGTCGCCAGCCCGGCCCGGCCTGTTCCTACCACTCGCACCAAGCCAGGGGTGCGAGTCGCCAGCCCGGCCCGGCCTGTTCCTGTCACTCGCACCAAGCCAGGGGTGCGAATCGTCAGCCTGGTCCAGAACGTTCCTGCTACTCGCACCAAGCCAGGGGTGCGAGTCGTCAGCCTGGTCCAGCCCGTTCCTGCTACTCACACCAAGCCAGGGGTGCGAGTCGTCAGCCCGGTAAAGCCCGTTCCGGCTCCACGCACCAAGCCAGGGGTGCGCATCGTCAGCCCGGTCCGGCCCGTTGCTGCTCCACGCACCAAGCCAGGGGTGCGAGTTGTCAGTCCGGTGAGGCCCGTTCCGGCTCCACGCACCAAGCCAGGGGTGCGTATCGTCAGCCCGGTCCGGCCCGTTGCTGCTCCACGCACCAAGCCAGGGGTGCGCATCGTCAGCCCGGTCCGGTCCTGCCTCACGCACCAAGCCAGGGGTGCGCGTCGTCAGTCCGGCACAACCCGTGCCTGGGTCATCGGTGCCAAATCAGGTACCGCTCAACTGCTCCACAACGGAGCTGAAGCTAGCCGTTCCTGCTACGTTCAGGTCAGCTCCAGCCAGCGGGGCCAGACCGGACCAGGGGCGCTATGGGGGGATTATTGGAGGGTGGTGGGCAAGGCCGGAGCCAGAACCGCCGCCGAGGAGGTATGCCCACCCAGCCCTCCCCTGTTTTGCTCTTATTGAGGCGCGGTCGCAGTCCGCGCCTTTAGGGGGGGGGTACTGTCACACCCTGGCTCTGGGACTCTTTATGTTGAGCCAGGGTGTGTTCATTCTATGTGTTCTGTTTCTATGTTGGGTGTTCTAGGTTGTGTATTTCTATGTTGGCCTGAGTGACTCCCAATCAGAGGCAACGAGTGTCAGCTGTTGGCTGGTTGTCTCTTAATTGGGAGCCATATTTATACTGTCTGTTTTCCTTTTGTGTTTGTGGGTTCTTGTTCCGTGTTCGGTCATTGTCACCGTGGACTTCACGAGTCGTTTATTGTTTTTGTTCGTGCTTTAATATAATAAAGTAACATGTTCATTCATCACGCTGCGCATTGGTCTACTTCTCTCCCTGACGATCGTGACATATTCAATCTTGTATGGTCTGATATATTTATTTTGACTGAGAACACATTCTCATTTACTGATGGGGTCTATGAGAGAAGTCTAAGGGCTGGCATTTAATTATGGACCAGACAGGCACATAACCCGTTAGAAGTCTAGGGGCTAGGGTTTAATTTTGGACCAGACAGGCACATATCCCATTAGAAGTCTAGGGGCTAGGGTTTAATTATGGACCAGACAGGCACATATCCCATTAGAAGTCTAGGGGCTAGGGTTTAATTATGGACCAGACAGGCACATATCCCATTAGAAGTCTAGGGGCTAGGGTTTAATTATGGACCAGACAGGCACATATCCCATTAGAAGTCTAGGGGCTAGGGTTTAATTATGGACCAGACAGGCACGTATCCCGTTGATTCTAAGGTTGATGTACATGGAGGTGATAGACATTTTGTGGTCTAGGGTCTAGGGCAGCACTGCCCAACCCTGTTCCTGGAGAGGAGTTCTAGTTGGGCTAAGGGTAGGGGCTAGGGGACTAGGGGTTGGGGCTAGGGGACTAGGGGTAGGGGCTAGGGGACTAGGGGTAGGGGCTAGGGGACTAGGGGGTAGGGGCTAGGGGACTAGGGGGTAGGGGCTAGGGGACTAGGGGTAGGGGCTAGGGGACTAGGGGTAGGGGCTAGGGGACTAGGGGTAGGGGCTAGGGGACTAGGGGTTGGGGCTAGGGGACTAGGGGTAGGGCTAGGGGACTAGGGGTAGGGCTAGGGGACTAGGGGTTGGGGCTAGGGGACTAGGGGTAGGGGCTAGGGGACTAGGGGTAGGGGCTAGGGGACTAGGGGTAGGGGCTAGGGGACTAGGGGTAGGGGCTAGCTAGGGGTAGGGGCTAGGGGACTAGGGGTAGGGGCTAGGGGACTAGGGGTTGGGGCTAGGGGACTAGGGGTAGGGGCTAGGGGACTAGGGGTAGGGGCTAGGGGACTAGGGGTTGGGGCTAGGGGACTAGGGGTAGGGGCTAGGGGACTAGGGGTTGGGGCTAGGGGACTAGGGGTTGGGGCTAGGGGACTAGGGGTAGGGGCTAGGGGACTAGGGGTAGGGGCTAGGGGACTAGGGGTTGGGCTAGGGGACTAGGGGTTGGGGCTAGGGGACTAGGGGTAGGGGCTAGGGGACTAGGGGTTGGGGCTAGGGACTAGGGGTAGGGGCTAGGGGACTAGGGGTAGGGGCTAGGGGACTAGGGGTAGGGGCTAGGGGACTAGGGGTTGGGGCTAGGGGACTAGGGGTAGGGGCTAGGGGACTAGGGGTAGGGGCTAGCTAGGGGTTGGGCCTAGGGGACTAGGGGTAGGGGCTAGGGGACTAGGGGTAGGGGCTAGGGGACTAGGGGTAGGGGCTAGGGGAACTAGGGGTAGGGGCTAGCTAGGGGTAGGGGCTAGGGGACTAGGGGTAGGGGCTAGGGGACTAGGGGTTGGGGCTAGGGGACTAGGGGTTGGGGCTAGGGGACTAGGGGTAGGGGCTAGGGGACTAGGGGTAGGGGCTAGGGGACTAGGGGTTGGGGCTAGGGGACTAGGGGTTGGGGCTAGGGGACTAGGGGTAGGGGCTAGGGGACTAGGGGTTGGGGCTAGGGGACTAGGGGTAGGGGCTAGGGGACTAGGGGTAGGGGCTAGGGACTAGGGGTAGGGCTAGGGGACTAGGGGTTGGGGCTAGGGGGACTAGGGGTAGGGGCTAGGGGACTAGGGGTAGGGGCTAGCTAGGGGTTGGGCCTAGGGGACTAGGGGTAGGGGCTAGGGGACTAGGGGTAGGGGCTAGGGGACTAGGGGTAGGGGCTAGGGGTCTAGGAGTAGGTTCTAGCTAGGTTTTGGGGCTAGGGGACTAGGGGTCCAGGGGTAGGGGCTAGGGGTTAAGTCTAGGGGCTAGCGGTTAAGTCTAGGGGCTAGGGGTTGTCTGGGGGCTAGCGGTTAAGTCTAGGGGCTAGCGGTTAAGTCTAGGGGCTAGCGGTTAAGTCTGGGGGCTAGCGGTTAAGTCTAGGGGCTAGCGGTTAAGTCTAGGGGCTAGCGGTTAAGTCTAGGGGCTAGCGGTTAAGTCTAGGGGCTAGCGGTTAAGTCTAGGGGCTAACGGTTAAGTCTAGGGGCTAGGGGTTAAGTCTGGGGGCCAGCGGTTAAGTCTAGGGGCTAGGGGTTAAGTCTGGGGGCTAGCGGTTAAGTCTAGGGGCTAGCGGTTAAGTCTAGGGGGCTAGCGGTTAAGTCTAGGGGCTAGCGGTTAAGTCTGGGGGCTAGCGGTTAAGTCTGGGGGCTAGCGGTTAAGTCTAGGGGCTAGCGGTTAAGTCTAGGGGCTAGCGGTTAAGTCTAGGGGCTAGGGGTTGTCTGGGGGCTAGCGGTTAAGTCTAGGGGCTAGCGGTTAAGTCTAGGGGCTAGCGGTTAAGTCTGGGGGCTAGCGGTTAAGTCTAGGGGCTAGCGGTTAAGTCTAGGGGCTAGCGGTTAAGTCTAGGGGCTAGCGGTTAAGTCTAGGGGCTAGCGGTTAAGTCTAGGGGCTAACGGTTAAGTCTAGGGGCTAGGGGTTAAGTCTGGGGGCCAGCGGTTAAGTCTAGGGGCTAGGGGTTAAGTCTGGGGGCTAGCGGTTAAGTCTAGGGGCTAGCGGTTAAGTCTAGGGGGCTAGCGGTTAAGTCTTGGGGCTAGCGGTTAAGTCTGGGGGCTAGCGGTTAAGTCTGGGGGCTAGCGGTTAAGTCTAGGGGCTAGCGGTTAAGTCTAGGGGCTAGCGGTTAAGTCTAGGGGCTAGCGGTTAAGTCTAGGGGCTAGCGGTTAAGTCTAGGGGCTAGCGGTTAAGTCTAGGGGCTAGCGGTTAAGTCTGGGGGCTAGGGGTTAAGTCTAGGGGTTAGCGGTTGAATACATACCCCGTTGGAGTAGTGGTTGATGTAGAGTCCTAGGTTGTTATACATGGAGGTGATGGACATGTCGTTCTTCAGGTCTTTTGTTAGCATGCGATGGTTGACCATGTGATAGTGCAGGGCGTTGTACAGCTCGATGTTCACGTTGCTCACCAAGGCACCACGCACCTCCTGGGGATGGAGAGGAAGAAGGAAGAGTTAGAGAGAGGAAGCAGAGATCTATCTGTCTGAACAGAACAGAACTGAGCTGACTGACTGATTGATTGATTGACTGATATACTAAAGCTTTGTTCACACTGCAGGCCTTAAAGGGCAGGAAGCATCCGTTTTTACTCACTAAAGTAACAACAAAGTGTTGTCATAGACTTAGTAACTTAGTTGTAGTCACCATCTTGGTTACCTAGAACTACATATTTATTAACTTATTTCCAAATATATTTTAAACTACCACCAATGCACTATTTCTCAATGTCATATGGAGAATCATTTCCATCTGCCTGGAGCCTTCCTCTGATCACTGTCTTATTGTTGACTCTTCCCCCTCGTTTCCTGTGACCAATGCTGCCTATGGAATATTGACTCTGGAATCTATGAATGTGGTTTGAAATGTGGTTCGAAATATCCGATTCCATGTGTTCAGACTGTTTCGAATCGGATATGGGAAAAAAAATTGGATTTGAGCACCATTGTGAACAAGGCTTAACTGACTGACTGATTAACTAACTGACTGACTGATTGATTGATTGATTGATTAACTAACTAACTGACTGACTGATTGATTAATTAACTGACTGACTGACTGATTGATTGATTAACTAACTGACTGACTGACTGATTGATTGATTAACTAACTGGCTGACTGACTGACTGACTGACTGATTAACTAACTGACTGACTGATTGATTAACTGACTGACTGACTGATTGATTAACTGACTGACTGACTGATTAACTAACTAACTAACTGACTGACTGACTGACTGACTCACTAACTAACTGACTGATTGATTAACTAACTGACTGACTGACTGACTGACTGACTGATTGATTGATTAACTAACTAACTGACTGATTAACCAACTGACTGACTGATTGATTGATTGATTAGCTAACTAACTGACTGATTAACTAACTGACTGACTGATTGATTAACTGACTGACTGACTGACTATTTAACTAACTGACTGACTGACTGACTGACTATTTAACTAACTGACTGACTGACTGACTGACTGACTGACTGACTGACTGACTGACTGACTGACTAACTAACTAACTAACTAACTAACTGACTGACTGATTAACTAACTGATTGACTGACTGACTATTTAACTAACTGACTGATTGACAGAATGACTAACTATAGTTATGTCTACTTACAGGGTCCAGCAAGTCCCAGGCTTTGTTGCTAGGGGCAAACATAGTGAACGATCCCTTCCCTTCGATCTCCTCCCTCAGCTTAGAGAGGTCAGAGTACTCCTGTGTTGTCCTAGCCTTCACCTGGCCCAATGTGCCATACACATGGTCTTGGGAGCACTGTGCCGGATAGTCACATTGGTCTATGGGAGCGACTGTAGCAGAGGACCGAGAAGATCAGTCCTCAGATGAGGTAGAGAGAGGAGAGAGAGACTTTCCTCCTACGTCGATCCAGTGATTTGAGACTCCGACTTTAGTCGACTCTCCCTGAGTTCGACACGAGACTGAGAGATTTCAGAAGACGAGACGACCGATTGAGGAGGCAGAGAAGTAAAAGGGACCCAGGCCCTGGAGAGAATTGGGAAGGTGGGAAAGGGAGGAAGGAAAAGGGGAAAGGGGAAAAAAGGGGGGGGGAGGAGAGAAAAAAGGGGGGGGAAAAAGGGGGGGAGAAAGAGAGGGGAAAAAAAAAAGAGAGAAAGGGGGGGGGGAAAAAAAAACAAAAAAAAAAAACCCAAAGGGAATCAGAGGGATTTCCCTTTTCCCAGTTCCCCTGATAAAGGGCCTGGGCCTGGGGAAGGGGAAAAAATTAACGACTCCTAACTCATGACGAGAGAAGTCAGCACATAGTACCTAGGCGCTTTGTTGCGAGGGGCAAACAAGTGAGAGACCTCTCGAACCGAGAGGTCTAGAGCCTCCCTAGCAGAGATCGAGAGAGCCAGAGGAGAACCCGAGTGTGACGAGGAGGACGATGAGCAAGGATGTAGACGACGAGACGACCAGACGAGAAGAGTCGTGAGGAGGAGAAAGAGAGTCAGAGAGAGAAGAGGAGGGATTGAGGGAGGAGACAGGAAGGAGGCTGAGAGAGCGTGAGACACCAGGACCCCAGGAGAGGTAGAGAGGCCTTTAATTGTGAGATAGATGGATCTGAGGGAGATGCGGGGTAGGAGGAGATTAGGAGGGGGAGGGGAGAGGAGAGAGAGAAATAGATAAAAAGGAGTAAGAGAGGGAGAGAGAAACGAGAGAGGAGAGAGAGAAGAGGGAGGGGGGAGAGAGAGAGAATGGAGAGAGATGAGACAGAGGAGAGGAGAGAAGACGAGAGAGAGAGGAGAGAGAGTGAGGGAGAGAGAGAGTGAGAGAGAAAGAGAGAGAGAGAGACGAGAGAGAGAGAGAGAGAGAGAGAAGACAGGAGAAGATAGTTTTAATACTATGTTTATAGGCTGACAGTTAGTCCTGGGTTGTCCTAGCCTTCACCAGGCCCAATGTGCCATACACATTGGTCCTGTGTTGCTCAGTTGGTAGAGCTTGGTGCTTACAAAGCCAGGGTGGTGGGTTCGATTCCCACGGTGGACCAGTACAGAAATGTCTGAAAATGTATGCACTCATTACTGTAAGTTCCTCTGGATAAGAATGTCTGCTAAATGACTAAAATGGAATGTAAAAAGCTATGGGAGCCACTGTAGGAAGAGAGGGAGGGAGGAGACAACAGTCAGACCACCAGGGCAGTAGGTTAATTCTTAGCATGGATCAAAATGTTCTAAATTAGAAGGAGGAGCTATAGGGGGAGAGGGAGGAGCTATATGGAGAGAGAGAGGGGCTATATGGGGAGAGGGAGGGGGGGTATATGGGGAGAGGGAGGAGCTATATGAGGATAGGGAGGGGGGGTATATGGGGAGAGGGAGGAGCTATATGGGGAGAGGGAGGGGCTATATGGGGAGAGGGAGGGGCTATATGGGGAGAGGGAGGGGCTATATGGGGAGAGGGAGGGGCTATATGGGGAGAGGGAGGGGGGTATATGGGGAGAGGGAGGAGCTATATGGGGAGAGGGAGGGGCTATAGGGTGGTTACAGCGTGAAATCCTATGAAGCCTCATCTCGGAGGTTGTATGACTGGTGATGTGGACCACCCTAGTATAAACAGACCTGCAGGACATCCTTGCATGCCTTCTAGCTTCATGTAGCCTGGACAGCACTCATAGACAACCACCCTGGAGAAAAGACAAGACATAACAATCAGAGAAAGAACCACCCTGTTAGGACAAGACAAGACACAACAATTAGAGAACCACCCTGTTAGGACAAGACAAGACACAACAATTAGAGAACCACCCTGTTAGGACAAGACAGGACACAACAGTAAGAGAAAGAACCACCCTGTTAGGACAAGACAAGACAAGACAAGACAAGACACAACAACCAGAGAACCACCCTGTTAGGACAAGACAGGACACAACAATCAGAGAACCACCCTGTTATGTATTAGTGTTTTATTTTTCATATTTGTTTTGACAAATGTTAGAATTGTTTTTCCACTTTGACATTAGTATTTTGTGTAGATCGTTGACAAAATTTTTATAATAAAATCCATTTAAATCCCACTTTGTAACACAACACAATTTGGAAAAAGTCAAGGGGTGTGAATACTTTCTGAGGGCACTACAGTTCATGGCAGCCAAGATAGCCCAGCTCTCTTCCGATATGGCTTTGGCCATGCTTCAACACGGCAGTACGGCACCTCTCTTCCGATATGGCTTTGGCCATGCTTCAACACGGCAGTACGGCACCTCTCTTCCGATATGGCTTTGGCCATGCTTCAACACGGCAGTACGGCACCTCTCTTCCGATATGGCTTTGGCCATGCTTCAACACGGCAGTACGGCACCTCTCTTCCGATATGGCTTTGGCCATGCTTCAACACGGCAGTACGGCACCTCTCTTACGATATGGCTTTGGCCACGCTTCAATACGGCAGTACGGCACCTCTCTTCCTGGTTTTTGCTTTGGTAGCTAACTCATCCTCCACCCTTTTACTTATCCGATGGGCCCCGTCAATCTGTAAATCTCCCCTCTCTCTTTCCTTGTGATCTGTAGGCCTAACGTTCACAAGCTAGTTGGCTAGCAACCTTTGCAAGCTGATTTGTATGAGTAAATTCATGAAGTATTTGCTTGGAAGTTGCCTAAAAAAAAGGTAATTGAAACCAGTAGTCATGAGTGCACATGATTTGGTTTAATTTGAAGTTATACATTTGAAAATATTTCAGTTGGAGTTTACATTGTAGGGAATAGGCTGGCTGGGTCCTCTTTATGACATATCACCCATCAAAAAAATAATTCCTTTATTGGTTGTCAGGCCTACTCCTGCTCCCTCCCTCCGGTGCTCGACTTCGCCGGTCTACTAACAACCGGTCCTGGCAACCCACATTACGCACACCTGGCAACCCACATTACGCACACCTGGCAACCCACATTACGCACACCTGGCAAGCATCATTGCGCACACCTGGCAACCCACATTACGCACACCTGGCAAGCATCATTGCGCACACCTGGCAACCCACATTACGCACACCTGGCAACCCACATTACACACACCTGGCAACCCACATTACGCACACCTGCTCCCCATCGTTACGCACACCTGGACTTCATCATCACCCTGATTACTCTCCCTTCATATAGCCCTCAGTAGCCTCAGTCAGTAGGTAGTATTGTTTTCTTTCATGTTCAGTCGCTTCTCATGTTTGTTCATCTCTATCGGTTCATTATTAAACAAGCTTTTAACTTCCTGACTGATGTCTTGAGATGTTGCTTCAATATATCCACATAAATTTCCTTCCTCTGATGCCATCTATTTTGTGAAGTGCACCAGTCCCTCTTGCAGCAAAGCACCCCCACAGCATGATGCTGCCACCCCCGTGCTTCACGGTTGGGATGGTGTTCTTCGGCTTTTAAGGCACCCCCCTTTTCCTCAAAACATAACGATGGTCATTATGGCCAAACAGTTCTATTTTTGTTTCATCAGACCAGAGGACATTTCTCCAAAAAGTACGATCTTGTCCCCATGTGCAGTTGCAAACCGTAGTCTAGCTTTTTTATGGCGGTTTTGGAGCAGTGGCTTCTTCCTTGTTGAGCGGCCTTTCAGGTTATGTCGATATATAGGACTCGTTTTACTGTGGATATAGATACTTTGTACCTGTTTCTTCCAGCATCTTCACAAGGTCCTTTGCTGTTGTTCTGGGATTGATTTGCACTTTTCGCACCAAAGTACATTAATCTCTAGGAGACAGAACGTGTCTCCTTCCTGAGCGGTATGACGGCTGCGTGGTCCCCTGGTGTTCATACTTGCATACTATTATTTGTACAGATGAATGTGCTACCTTCAGGCATTTGGAAAATTGCTCCCAAGGATGAACCAGACTTGTGGAGGTCTACAATTATTTTCTGATGTCTTGGCTGATTTCTTTTGATTTTCCCATGGTGCCAAGCAAAGAGGCATTGAGTTTGAAGGTAGGCCTTGAAATACATCCACAGGTACACCTCCAATTGACTCAAATGATGTCAATTAGCCTATCAGAAGCTTCTAAAGTCATGACATAATTTTCTGGAATTTTCCAAGCTGTTTAAAGGCACAGTCAACTTAGTGTATGTAAACTTCTGACCCACTGGAATTGTGATACAGTGAATTATAAGTGAAATAATCTGTCTGTAAACAAATTACTTGTGTCATGCACAAAGTAGATGTCCTAATCGACTTGGCAAAACTACAGTTTGTTAACAAGAAATGTGTGGAGTGGTTGAAAAACAAGGTTTAATGACTCCACCCTAAGTGTATGTAAACTTCCGACTTCAACTGTAAATCCCCCTGCACAGTCCCCACAGCATGACAATTTTCTCAAGGCTTCTGGAAAGAAATACTGTCGCATGCAAAAACCGTGTTTTTTTTTATTATTATTTTTTAAAATTTGTATTCATATTTAAAAAAAATAAAAAAAATAATATTTTTTTTTTTGGGGAGGGGTGGATCAGCTTAATATTGCAGATAGATTGTATCTTCTATCAATGTAATTGTCTGCATCACTTCCAATTTTAATTTTTTATATATATATTCCCCTTTATTACTTTTCAACCCCGCCATCCTTTCCCTACTTGGAGTAAATTAGTGAACAACAACGCCCAAGCCTCTACTTCCGGTCTATGTAGTGGGGAAAAAAACGTATTTAGTCAGCCACCAATTGTGCAAGTTCTCCCACTTAAAAAGATGAGAGAGGCCTGTAATTTTATCATAGGTACACGTCAACTATGACAGACAAAATTAGAAAAAACATTCCAGAAAATCACATTGTAGGATTTTTTATGAATTTATTTGCAAATTATGGTGGAAAATAAGTATTTGGTCAATAACAAAAGTTTCTCAATACTTTGTTATATACCCTTTGTTGGCAATGACACAGGTCAAACATTTTCTGTAAGTCTTCACAAGGTTTTCACACACTGTTGCTGGTATTTTGGCACATTCCTCCATGCAGATCTCCTCTAGAGCAGTGATGTTTGGGGCTGTCGCTGGGCAACACGGACTTTCAACTCCCTCCAAAGATTTTCTATGGGGTTGAGATCTGGAGACTGGCTAGGCCACTCCAGGACCTTGAAATGCTTCTTACGAAGCCACTCCTTCGTTGCCCGGGCGGTGTGTTTGGGATCATTGTCATGCTGAAAGACCCAGCCACGTTTCATCTTCAATGCCCTTGCTGATGGAAGGAGGTTTTCACTCAAAATCTCACGATACATGGCCCCATTCATTCTTTCCTTTACACCAGGGTTCTTCAATTCCGGTCCTGGAGGGCCGAGACACCTCTGTTTTTCATCCTCTCCCTCTAATCAGGGGCTAATTCAGACCTGGGACACCAGGTGAGTGCAATTATCTACCAGGTAGAAATAAAAAACAGAAGTGTTTCGGCAATCCAGGACCAGGATTGAAGAACCCTGCTTTACACGGATCAGTTGTCCTGGTCCCTTTGCAGAAAAACAGCCCCAAAGCATGATGTTTCCACCCCCATGCTTCACAGTAGGTATGGTGTTCTTTGGATGCAACTCAGCATTCTTTGTCCTCCAAACACAACGAGTTGAGTTTTTACCAAAAAGTTCTATTTTGGTTTCATCTGACCATATGACATTCTCCCAATCCTCTTCTGGATCATCCAAATGCACTCTAGCAAACTTCAGACGGGCCTGGACATGTACTGGCTTAAGCAGGGGGACATGTCTGGCACTGCAGGATATGAGTCCCTGGCGGCGTAGTGTGTTACTGATGGTAGGCTTTGTTACTTTGGTCCCAGCTCTCTGCAGGTCATTCACTAGGTCCCCCCGTGTGGTTCTGGGATTTTTGCTCACCGTTCTTGTGATACTTCTGACCCCACAGGGTGAGATCTTGCGTGGAGCCCCAGATCGAGGGAGATTATCAGTGGTCTTGTATGTCTTCCATTTCCTAATAATTGCTCCCACAGTTGATTTCTTCAAACCAAGCTCCTTACCTATTGCAGATTCAGTCTTCCCAGCCTGGTGCAGGTCTACACTTTTGTTTCTGGTGTCCTTTGACAGCTCTTTGGTCTTGGCCATAGTGGAGTTTGGAGTGTGACTGTTTGAGGTTGTGGACAGGTGTCTTTTATACTGATAACAAGTTCAAACAGGTGCCATTAATACAGGTAACGAGTGGAGGACAGAGGAGCCTCTTAAAGAAGAAGTTACAGGTCTGTGAGAGCCAGAAATCTTGCTTGTTTGTAGGTGACCAAATACTTATTTTCCACCATAATTTGCAAATAAATTCATTAAAAATCCTACAATGTGATTTTTTGGATGTTTTTTTCTCAATTTGTCTGTCATAGTTGACGTGTACCTATGATGAAAATTACAGGCCTCTCTCATCTTTTTAAGTGGGAGAACTTGCACAATTGGTGGCTGACTAAATAATTTTTTTCCCCACTGTACTTACTATCTACACCTTATGGAAAGAGTTAATTTTACAATAATTCTCTATATATATATATATATATATATATATATATATATATATATATATATATTTATTTTTTTGCTCCTGAACTTCTTCTACTCTCAACCTCTCCGATCATTTTCATGATGTCCATCCGGTTTGCTTCTAAATGCCATATCTTTCTAACTGTGCTCTTTCCCAAAAGCTCCCACCATACAACCT